CCCCCCTCCACGGCTTTTTCGCCGACGACGAGCGATGAGTATATAGTCGGCGAAAAAGTTGTCGAGCGGGGGGGGGGTATACAATAACTATGCAACGTATATCCCACGTACAGAATGCATATAGTGCATATAAAACAAAAAATTAATACGACCCCCCCTTTTCCACAAGAAAAAATCAACTATCAAAATAAATTTGTCTTACAAATACGACCCCCCTCCCCAGAGCAAAAGTACGACCCCCCCCCCCACGGGTTTGGCACAACGATGCTGTACCCTGTGCACCGAAGACGGCCTTGACACCATTTGGGAATCAGATACTCGAAATAGCACAAAAGGGAACTGCACTTGCAAAATTGCACGTGCATTCTGGGAAAGTGCAGGCAACTGGACCAACAAATCTGTAATCTAGAAGTTCTAGGATTTAAAAGAATGTGAATGGGCCATTAAAGGTCGATAGGAAAACCAGATAAAAAGATGCCATAGTGATAATAATTCCAGTAGATAATTAGTTGGAATATCACTCCCCGCCCCACTTGATAGGTGCTGGACGCCACATCCGGTGCGCAAATAAACTAGGTACTTGGCTAATGAAACAAACTGAACCTTAATTCAACTTTCATACAATTATCGAAGTTTTCAAAATGCACATTCGTAAATTTCCTAGCTTCCCTCTTAGCAACCCCGGCATAGTAGGTTGTAACTTCTGTTAGTTATGTCAAGCCTAACAAGGTAGGTAAAAGGCTCTTATTAAATCAGACCAAGGTTTCGCTGAAAGGTCGTCTTCGGAAGTCTAAATGTGGTTCAAAGTTCTGATTTATGACCAAGTTCACCGAGTGCCTTATCTTCTCTAGCGGTTCTGGCCCGAACTAAAGTCCAAGCAATGCAGAGAACAAACGGGTTCCACCTTTCTGAGACGAAAAATCCGCCGCCACACTTAAGCGTTGATAATTGGCGACTAATGCATATTATACTGTATCCTGATATTAGTAATATGTGAGAACAAACATAGCGCTCTTTAATTTTCTACAGCTCGCAGTACTGTACGAACAGCGAACTCTCGCCGTTCATACAGCACTTATGCCTGTAGAACATCATACGTGCGCCTTCCACACATCACTAATATCGGGAACAGTACAATATGCATTACTCGTCATTTACTAACGCTGAAGTGTGGTAGCGGATTGTTCGGCTCAAAAGGTAGAACCCTGGGTGAGTTTGTTCCTTGAATTACTTGGTTTCCCTTCGAGGTTCCCGACAGAATGCTGGAGCTGCTATAGAATATGAAGCGCCTGATGCGCTAGAGCGTAAATCTGAGTCTTGAACCACTTTAAGGCCTCCGAAGATTCGATTAAAACGTTAGGGCGATATAATGGAAGTTCCACAACCTACCTCGTAAGGCACAGAACAACTAACACAAGATACAATAATAATAATAATATGTTGTCAATAATCGCAATGTGCATAAACGATAACGTCTTCGCTGTTCATCGGTTTCTTTTTAAGATGCAGCGGAACTCACTCCCATTCAGAATGACCTGCGGGGCCAGCCGTAAAGTCTAGGCGTTTTTATCCTTCCAGACTAATCTGGCACAAACGATTTACCCATATCAGGAGGATAGAAGGCTGGTTTGCCTGAGTCAGGAGCGACCGGGTTATGAAGCTTGACCAATGGCGTAATAAGCATGCCACTTGCCGCTACAGAACCAGCGAAATTCATACACTGTATCAAATAAAGGTGCAGTACTGTTGGGATGGGGCACGGAACGATACTCCGCTGAGCTTGGACAGGTTCATCTGCGTGAAAACCTCGTAAACGCGATGTGGACTAGGAGCTCATTCGGTCACTCGACGCGGGGGGGGGGAGGTGGGAACATTCGTTATATTCATAATTGCTTCTGGTTTAGCTTTACCGAATTCACCGTCTGGTAAAATACTTTCGTGGCAACGCCTGTGAAGCTGGAGCAAGTCGTCTAGCCACCATCCTAAAACGTGTCAACTCGAAAAAAGGGTACCTAGTTGGATTGGCAAATCTATGAGAAGCAGAATGCCTCCCCGTCGATAAATAGCGCCGCTCATTTATCAGTGCCCTCAAATGAATTTAGAGGTGTCGTCGCCAGATTCATAGACGTGTTTATTCAGAGAACTAACAAAGAGAAATAGCAAGGGACAAAATGCTTCCTTCAAGCTCGAACAGCGCCCAAATCATGTATGATTGCCTAAGCGTAATAATTCAGAACAGTGGAATAAACCTCCTCGCAGCCTGCCCAAAAGAATCACATAGTGCCTATAATTACCATTAAATAAGATACTCATTGTAGATGCTGCCACACTGGCTGAAGAAAAACGAGGAACCAGTGCACTTTTAGAGCTCATTATTCCAGTCTCGCAACAGCTTCCATTGCAGCGCAACGTTTTGAAACAATAAGCTATTACGATCAACAGTTACTAAATATCACGATGAAGAATGGGCATAACCGTTGAATACATTAATTGGGTTTACGAAAACACGTCTGGAGTGAACGCATCGCACGAAAAAAAAAGGAAAATAATGAAAGTTCACTCACTTAGCTTCAGGCATTTGATCGTAAACTCTTCGCAATGCTGGCGCCATCTTATTCGTTACCGTTCCAGCAACGAAAATGAGGTCAGTCTGCAAGAGCAGATGATCATTATCTGAAGTCGGCTTAGAAAGGAACTATACTGATATAACTAGTGAGCGTTCAACAAGGAATTCGCTATTTTGTCATCTAATTTGCAAAAAAATATAACATTTGAGGTTGAAAAGTCTTTATTATGAACGCTACCAACTGCAGGTATGTGCCGAAAGTATACACGAATTACCTATTCTTCCTTTCCTGGCGAATCTAGACAGTCACCCGTAGTACTACCTCAATCCAATGTTCACTTTGACGATCTTGAAAGGCTTGGCCTCGAACTACACCTGATCGTATAAGTGCCATAGCCACGCGACAAGTTTCTAAGGCAAGAGTAAACAGCTGAGATAGTTCAGGCCCACCGACATCACTCCTGAGAGCGAACATGCCGGCAGGCACACGGAGTTTTCTTACACCCAGACAGGGGAGAGTACCGGTTTCAACGTCAAGTGGTGTGGACTGTCCAACGGGGACTTGGGCCAATTTTACTGGGTGCATCTTGGGTTAGGTATAGCTACCGGTATTATGTAGTTAGATTCTTATAATGCGTGGGACTGACGAAGTCTACTACTGTCTCCTTTAGACACGCCAGGGGTCGAATTCAAGGTGCGCACGTCAAAGCAGTTGGCACGATGATTGGTGCTCGGCCTAAAATGCTAGTAGGGCGCTATATAGTGGGGAAATGGCGAAAGAACGGAGTGAAACGGTCAAAATCCTGCGAAGAAAAAGCCTCCGTTCTCAGTGACTTGAAAATCGATTTCGGACGAGTTTCCCGTAGGCATCTTGCCAATCACCGCTACCGAAGATACGGCTGCATATGTGTACCCATATATGCATGCAGCATCACGGCCGCTTCATACCAATCCCTTTGCTTCATAATTTGCTCAGCAAATGAATGAATACGAGCGTCAGGAACGGTCGTCCATTTGTGGGCGGGCGGGCGTTTGGGACGTAAAGTTGTGGCTTGATAGGGCCCTTATAAGGGCACCTCCCTTGGAAAAGGCATTATGCAGCGCCTGCTCAGGGTCGCGGAATTCCGTCCTGCCAGGCGTATTAGTCCTACTCGTTTTGGAGGATTTATCGTGCCAACTGCCTTCAAATCGCGCTCTCAGGGCACGTTGTATGTTAGGGAATTCAAACGCACGGAGGAATGAAGTAGACGCTTGCCGATTCCCACGGTTCAAGGAAAACGGGCAGGTGCCGCGCCGAACTCCCCCCCCCTTTTTTTTCCAAACACGTTCCAGCATCCACAGAGAACAAGATTATGTGCAGATCTATTAGCGAAATATTCAAATCACGCCGCGAATTTGTGAGGGAGTTGATGACTTGTTCGTCAGATACATCACTGCCACAATCGATCCATATCACCAGTATTCCAAAATCCGTCAAAAGATATCTCAGTCAACGTAATTCGCCACAACACCACCTTGACATAAGCCAATGCCTACTCAATTGCGCGACTCGTAAAAAGAGCAGCAGTTGACGGCAAGAAAATGTTTCACTTCAAAAATTCGAATTGCCCTACTTCAGTGTCCCGATATATTCTGATGCAGACTTGAAAATCCACTACGACATTTTTTTTATTCTATACAGTTAAGGGAAACTTTATGATCAGTGTAGGAAGTTAATGGGTGAAATGATTTACGCACCAACGATCTAGTTCTCCTAGCCTTACTGCTAGACGAAAATCCTCATTCCTGGCTGATAAACCGTTTCTTCACTTATTTCAGAGCGAACTGTGGAGCAAACGTGAGATTACAGTATTCCGACGAATAATTGCACCAAAACGACCGCAAAAGCGCCATACCCTTTCATAACAAAGTAACACAAGATTTATCCTACTATATATAATCCGCTAAGTTTGTCTGTTGGTGTGTGTGTGTGTGTGTGTGTGTGTGTGTGTGTGTGTGTGTGTGTGTGTGTGTGTGTTGTGTGTCTGTATGTGTGTTTGACCGGAAATTCGTAACTCCCTTTGATTTCATCGCAAGGAGTTCAAACTTATGAGTGATGTAGGAGGTCGGGCAGGATCACTATTGGTGAGCGGCAGGAAGTGATAAGAGCTGATAAGATACCATAGGGGGCCTTAGAAAGCGAGGGTCACCAACTCCATAACGCGCGTCACAGCAACACTAGGACTTTGATTCCAAGAAGTAAGATAGGGAGGCAGGATGGGAACATTATGGTGGGTGGCAGGAATTGATAACAGCTGATAAGATACCATAAGGGGTCTTAGAAAGCGAGGGTCACCAAATTCATAGCACCGGCCACAGCAACGACGGGACATTGGTTCCAAGAAGTAAGATAGGGGCAGGATGGGAACATTATTGGTGGGTGGCAGGAATTGATAACAGCTGATAAGATACCATAAGGGGTCTTAGAAAGCGAGGGTCATCAAATTCATAACACCGGCCACAGCAACGACGAGACATTGGGTTCAAGAAGTAAGACAGGGGGCAGGATGGGAACATTATTGGCGGGTGGCAGGAATTGATAACAGCTGATAAGATAGCCAGGAAAATTCACAGCAGAGTTGTAGCAACACTGGGAACTGCTCCAGCAAGTAATTCAGAGGTGCTTAGGGAACATTAAAGGTGGGAGATAAATTCTGACAGTGTCCGACAAGGGCTTTTGGGAGTCCGTATCTGCTCACATCACCGTAGCCAAAGAATCAATGGGCGAAGGCTTAGTGAGTCAAGATGTTTCCCTTAGCAAAATCCCTCAGTTTAGCGGTCGGAATTGCTTCCACCGCTAAACGCTCGAGTTCCCCGAAAAAGGAGTTTGGAGTTGTTGGCCAGTGAGGAATGATAAGAGCCACTATGATTTCGATATTTTTACCATCGGAATCCTTCCAACCGCTATGCTGTCCTACTTCCAACGAATGGTGGAATACGATAAGAACCTAACATTGGCAAGTGTTCATTAAAAGGGAGAAACATGATGAAATGGGCCGTTTTGGAAACATAGGAATTAGGCTCAGTAAGTGTTAGTGCTCAGCACAGAAATCCTGCCAGTTATCAGTAACCAATCTAATCAGTAATCTAAATAGGTCTAACCATGCGCGCAGAAATGCGCGTCAGCCAGACTGGTAAGAGAATAAAACCTTACTATCCGCTCTTAAGCGCTCGAAAAGGGAATGGGAAGCTGGATGAGGAAAGGGAAAAAAGAAGAAGGAAGTTTCTTAGGCCCACTCAAAGCCTTTGGAACATCTCGCTCGAGAATGCTGCTATCTCAAAACCTTCTCCGCTAATCATCTAGAAGGAATGTTCAGAGGAAATTGGACTCCTGAAAGTTCAAAACCGATATACGGCACGCCTTCTACGGGCCTCGTTTGTTTCAAGTGTTTTCTCGGGTCACGCTCCGATTACTCCCAAAGCGTTTTCCCAAATGAGAAATGGGAGCGATCCTTTCAAATCCAGCGTACGTCCGACAGAAGCACTATAAGTAATAACAGGACTTACCTGTCTCGGTGAGGCACGAAAAACCACTCCATAACGATCCATATCATAACGAGGAGCAGCAAAGTGCATCATTTCAATGGCACAGCAAGCTAGACCGAAAGTGAGTGGCCAGATAGATGTACGTTGAACCATATTCATCACGTCGTCCAGTCGAGCCAACGCATATTCTGCGGCCGAGGACGTCTCCAGAAAAGGTGTCCCTAAAAGAAATCATGATCGTGGAAAATGCTGAACTCTTCGGATGCTCCTAACTATAGGCAAACCCTCTCTTATAGAGCCTTTTCTTTGTAGAAACTCGAAAATTCAGGGAAAATGGACTGAAATTACTCTCATAGCACGAAAAGGTGAAGAGGGGAGAATCTGAGAGTTTTGAACTACATACGATTGGGGCATCAATAGCTACAAACGCGGAGTTATTCACAGAAATGTCTTCACTGACGGATTTTAAACGCACCTGTTTTAGCGATTCCCTTTGGAGCTTCTCCCGGCACTGTTGAGACACACCGCGCGGCGGCCAAGCGACATGCAGGAGCCG